CCAGCCCTGTGGGGCTCAGTGGGGCTTGTTTGGGCATAGAGGGGGGGGCATGGGAGTGGGGGGCATGGGGGATGTATCACAAGTGCGTGGGGGCTCAGCGGGGCAGGGGTACATCTCATGGGTGCCGTGGGCCTCGGCAGGGCAGGGACATGTGTCATGAGTGCGTGGGGGCTCAGCAGGGCAGGGGTGCTTCTCACAGGTGCCATGGGGCTCAGCGGGGCAGGGACATGTGTCACGAGTGCATGAGGGCTCAGCAGAGCAGGGGTGCCCACCCCAAGCACCATGCCGCTCAGCAGGGCAGAGACATATGTCACGAGCATGCTGGGCCTCAGCACTCGCTCCCAGTGCCCTCCTCGCCTGCTGCAGCGGTGGCAGGGGCAGGTGGTGGTGGTGAGGAGGACGCCCAGGGGGCCCCCCCAAACCTTTCCCAGGGCCCCCTTTTCCCAGAGCACTGCGCTCACCTCTCGGGGCCCCCGGGCAGGCGCCAGCCCCGCACTTGCTCCAGCGTGGTGTCAGCCAGTTGGACGCGCAGCGGCAGCAGCGGTGCCCAGACGGTGAAGCGCAGTGAAGCGTGTAGGCGCCGGGCCCAGAAATCCACCCGGGCCCCCCGAGCCCCCCGGCTCTCTTTGCCCCCCACAAACACCGCATCGCAGGCATCTGACACCTGAAGAGAGGAGGGGGGCACATGTAGAGGTGGAGGGGGAGCAGGCAGGGTCAGGGGGATACCAGTGGTGGGTGTTGGAGGGGGACGGGGGTGGGGGCGGCTCTGCTCACCTGCAGCACCTGCTTGTCGGCCGACTCGCAGCCTGGGGGCTCGGTGAGCTCAGCCACGCCGCCTCCCGCTTCCACCGCCACCAGTTTCACCGGGACAACACGGGGGACCCCCGTCAGCGGGGCCGTGTTGAGGATCTCCAGCTCCTGGGGGGAAAAGTGGGGGCTGAAACGTGTGGCCCCATGGGTTTTGGGGTCAGCGCAGGGCGGGGTGGATGGAGGCCAGGGTGGGAGTCACCCACCTGTACCAAGGGGACAAGGGCGCGGACGTCCCGCTCCGACACCTGGATCTCCCACACCAGTTTGTCCTTCTGGGCCTCGGGGTCCTGGCCCGGGTACTCCACCTGCCAGGTGAGGGGCCGTGCCGGCGCCAGCCCCCCCGTCCCGTTCTCCACCGCCAGGTCCAAGTGCAGGAACGTGGCGGAATCGGCTGCCCTGTACCATCACACAGGTGTCAGGGCTGTCCCATGGACCCCAGTCCCCCCACTGGGCCATACTGGGATGGGAGTGGTGCAAGGCACAGGTCCCTTTTGCTCTGACTGGGTCGAACTGGGATGGAAGCAATGCAATATGTGGGTCCCCATGCTCCAGCTGGGCCATACTGGGATGGGAAAGGTGCAAAACTCAGGCTCCTCTGGTCCAACTGCATCATACTGGGAAGGGAGCAGTATCATGCATAGATCCATTTTATTCTAACTGGGCCATACTGGCAGTGAGCAGTGCAATACTTGGGTCCCCCTGCTCCAAATGGGCCATACTGGGATGGGAGTGGTGTGAGGCACAGATCCCTTTTGCTCTGACTGGGTCATACTGGGACAGGGATGGTGCCATATACAGGTCACCCAGCTCTGCCTGGGCCCTACTGGGATGGGAGTGGTGCAACTCACAGGTCCCACCCTGCCCCACTTGGGCCATACTGGGATGGGGGCAGTGTCATGCACGGGTCCCCTTTACTCTGACTGGGCCATACTGGGATGGGAGCAGGGCAAAGCACAGGTCCCCCTGCTCCAACTGGATCATACTGGGATGGGGGTAGCACAAAGCACAGGTCCCCTTTACACTGACTGGACACTATGGGGCTGCACCGGGCCCCCATGCAGAAGCCCCTCTCCCATAATGGGGGTCCCCAGAGGTGGGGGTGCTGCCACCCTACCTCCAGCCTCCGTGTACATCCCCGCTGCGCCGACACGTCACCACAACCGTGGAGTGCTTGGGACCCCGGGTGCGCTCCAGTTGGGTGCTCCAGGCCGTGGGGACCCCGGGACGGGCACCCACCACCTGCAGCCCCTTCTTCGCCTTGATCCTGCCACCAGATCCCCGTCACACAACCGGGGGAGGTGTATGTGTCCCCCCCCCAAAACTTCCCAGCACGCGTCACCCTCCACAGGGGGGTCCCAAGTCTTACCGGAGCGTCAACTGGTCGGCGGTGAAATTGTGTCGTAGGGCGACGGTGGCGGTGAAACGCTGCCCAGGGCGCAGCGTGGCGTCAGGCACCCGCAGCAGCACCTTATCATCTAACCGTACCTCCTGCCGCCGCGCCGGCTCGCTGGCCCGCAGCTCCACCGTGCCCAGGTACCGCCGGGCCTCTCCACCGCGGCTCCGCTCCCGGCCCCCGGCACGGCTGCATTCCCCCGGGCCCACCACGCTGTAGTGAAGCTCCACCGGCTCAGGGGGTTCAGGGCGCCCCGGGGGTTCGGCTGCTCGGCGGCGGCTGCGTGGGGTGGGGGATGTCGGGGAGAACCAGCGCGGGGGGATCTCCAGCTCCACCACGCAGACACCCAGGGGTGCCTGGAGGGGAGAGCAGGACCCAGGATCAGGGTGAGGGGGATAAGTGGGGTGTCCCCACGCAGGGAAGGGGGGTGCTGCAATCGTGGTGGGTGGCACTGACCTGCAGGCGGCATGTCCCACGGGCCACCCGGCCGTGGTGGTGGGCATGGAGGGTGACGCAGGGCAGGTCACGCTCCCTGGGGTGCTCCTGCTCCCCAGGGTGTTCCCTCACCCTGGGGTGTTCCCTCTCCCCAGGCAGCCAGTCAGGACCCTGCAAGTGGAAGAGGACACGGGCGAAGGGCTCGGCCGGGGACACGGCGCTCTCAAGGGACACGGCACGGATGGCCCAAGGTACCGAACTGTCCCTTCCCGGGGGGGTCTCTGTGGGCACGTCCTGCAAAAAGACAGGGAGATGGTGGCAGGAGGTTGCAGCAAAGTGGGGTGGGGGTCCCAGGGTGGTGGGGGCCATTTTACCTGCCGGGTGCTGAAGGGTGGGTAGGTGGCCTGGACGAGGGGCTGCGTGGCGGAGTCATGGCGCAGCAGCAGGTAGGTCTCGGTGCGGGTGTGCAGGGAGGTGTTGGCTGGCAAATCCTGGTCCACCCGTTGTAGCCGGTAGTATTCGGGCACGCCGAGCACCTCCAGGTCCGCCGGCAGGTATACAGGGTCAGGGGGGTCGCCGTCACCCCTCGCTGTGAGGACACGGGCTGTGTCACCAGTTTTGGGGGCTACAGAGGGAAAGGGCTGGCCTGGTGTGGCAAGTGGGGGGGGTCTCTGGTGCCCACTGAGTGCCGTGAGAAGAAAGCCAGCTTTGGCACTGCTGTGGCACCACACAGCCCCCACCGCCCACCTCGGGAATGGGAGCACCCCAAACACCAGGAGGCTGTGACTGGGGGGATGCTGCACCCTCGCAGTTCCCTGTGCCCCCCAAAGCGGGTGCTGGAGGATGGCGTGGCACCCCACTGGTGCTGGGGCTGTCTCTTATACACAT